TTACCGCAAAGGACGAACACTAAAGGTCAGAAGATGTGCAGGGCGATCTCCGGCATAGGTTTATGTATCTATTTTTGAAGCACTGGATGAAATAGCCAATTGCTGAGGTCAGATGTGGTTACAGACTTTTAAAATGTATTCCAAGGTTTACAAAAATAGCCTATTTCAACCCTGAAATGAACAAATTTCCCCCAGATGAGGAAGGGGTGTAGCAGTAGTGGTCTGATGTGTCCTCATCTTGTTGGTCTCTCTTCTTCTCTATCAGTTGAAAATGAATATAGAGCATCTGTTTACCTCAACAAGGAGACCAGACACAGACAAACCAAGTGACAGCATTTTTCAACATGCAAAGTGCATTCATGTCTGTCAGCGTGTAGCCGCGTTGACGCACTTTGGCTAGAGTCACCAACACGCTCACTCTCAATTATGCTTATCTTGGTGTCGTTTGAGGTATTAAAAATGCATTAGACTCTAGCAATTATGATAGCTCTGCCAGTTGTGAATAATACATATTTAATGGAGAGTAATACAGATTATTGCAAACTGTTTAATTGCATTTTAATTCCCCAAGATCCCGCCTGAAGAGAGAGGGTGACGAGGAAATCATTAACTACATTAAAAATCCACTTTCACATGGCCAGGTGTTCCCTGCCTGTAAGCAAACAGCATGGGACCACAGAGGGTGACTTTATTATAGATGTGACAGCCGTCTGACTTTGGTGATACTTACGGGTTATGTGATATTTACAGACCATCCTTTGAGTCTCAAGTTGCCATTGCTTGATACTTACATAAGACTATGTCTCTCTCCTTGCCCCTTTCTTTCTCTCTCCCTGTCTCAGTAAATCATTTCCCCAGGGCCAGTCATTAGCATCATCTGAAGTTGCCATGTCTAACATCGCTTCTCCGATGTGCCAATCTAAAAAGACAGTATCACTTTGAGAATCTCCCGAACTCCACTGGAACAAAAAGATAGCGAAAGGAAAGGAATTCTCTGAGTGCGGTTGACATTGCAGGGTCTCTGAGCGCTGGAGCAGGTGATAGTAGCACTGCACCACGCACACACACACGCACACACACCCTGTCTTGTCGCCACCTCAGCCATCACTCTGAATGATGTCAGTCAAATTAATTGCTGTTCCCTTCCCATGGCACGCTTGAGGAGGTTTCACAGAGGCAAGGACAGTCCGGGGCCCAGAGAAAGCGGGCTTTAAAGGACAACTATGTGTGTGTGTTTGTGTGATTGTGCAAGCGGGAAAAAAAGAGTTATCACAGTATTTACACTATTTGATATTTTCCTAATGAGCATGAACTTAATTTCATTCAAAAATCTGTGCTCTAAATCTTTTGAGACTTGCTGTATAATGAGAGCCGCTCCTGACTCTTTAATCACTTTAAAGTGTTTATGTGATAAGACATAGCAACTGTTTTACACTGAAATTCATCTCATTCAGATTTTTATGGTCATTGAGGAGTTGGGCACATCTACAGAGACATTCTTTATCTCTTATAAACACAAACTTAATTCCAAACCAATTTAGATTTTGATCTAATTTATCGTTTCGGAAATAGGCAGATCTGCGAAGGAATGTTTAACTGGGTCTCGCAAAACAAAAATCCATCACATGTCCTTGTCGCTGCTCTGCTCTCCCTCCACACTTCAGCTACTTCGATCTCCCTTTCTGTCCCGTTCAAGCATCTGAATAGATCAGGGCGTGTAGGTTCTGGTGACAGCTGCATCCTTAATATACAAAGTTACTGAACCACTGAAAACAGAAATTTACCTCTGTCTCCTCGTTTTTAGCTGTGACTCAAAGTTCATGTTTAGTTGTCAGGTATTGTTTCAAGACTTCAATCGTGTCAGGGTAGAAAACTTTAGTGCAATGAATGAAAAAAACAAAGGGATAAAGAGGTGCCATAGTGGTTGCTTTCACTTTATTATTTCAGGCGATTCACAGCTCCAGATTGGGCCTTTCACTTTGCTAATGATGGCAATACATCACCCGGCTGAACAGCCACATGAACACCAGAATTACACAAGAGTGAAATTTTGGATGTGAGACACAGCTGGTCCCGTTAGGTTTTACCCTTTAGACTCTGGTGTGAAATGTGCTTCAGGAAGTTTGACGTGTAGAGGTCAAAGCTGTACAGCCACACATGCACCACACAGAGGATTTCACAGAAAGGGACAAACACACTTTTATTAAGCTGTGCATTGAGATATTTCCACATGGCTGAAGCAAACACTGCACAACTCATTTTCTTCTGTTACGAATGTAACATAACAACACGTATTCAGTGGTCGGACCTCTATAACAACTGCACATTCTAAGATTGACTGAGATTAATTTTAGCCAAGTACAAACACCTACAGCTCTTGTTTGTGTCATGAATGCTCACTGTAGCTAACTGATGAAGCAAGTTAGCGCAAGAAACAATAAATACAGCACATCAAATCAGAGGTAACTGTTCATGATTATGGCAATGCATCCTGTTATTCATATTCCACCAGTAAGTATGCTTCACTTCATAGGATACTTCCTGGGTCTTATTTTGATAGTCTGGGCCACTTTTTTTTTTTCAGTCATGATGATATTGTACTCACTGACATTTTGGTAAATACGCTTATTCACTTTCTTGCTGCACGTTAGATGAGAAGATCTACCACACACAATTTGTCCATTAGATATGAAGCTACTGCCAAGAGATGTTAGCTTAGATTAGCATAACATGTCTTATTTGGTTGATCCGAAGTTTGAAAACAACAAGTTTTTGGTTTGCTTGTTTGTTTTTATGTGATTTTTTTCTTGAGGTGCAATAGAGAAAGAATAAGTCAAGCAAGAAAGCGAATAGGTGTGCTTCCCAAATTATCGAACTATTTCTTTAACAGCTGAGATTTGGGAACAAAGTGACTTCGCTAAGACATATGACAAGACAAAAGATACAGGCAGTCAGATAATCAGATCACAGGTTTCATACAAACCATCAGCTTAGCAAAATCTGATCTGTAATTATGTGTTTGAAATCAAAAGTCACAGTGCATATGCAGTGCTCTGTAATACAACGGGAATCATTCATAAAATGCACTGTCCCGTTCATAGCCTGTCGCCCTCTGTAATCTCAGCTATTGTTGCTCTTTTTCCTAACGCAGAATGTAGGAAACAAGCTCACTGTAATGTGAGGAAGCCTTTTTGATATAAAAAAATATAAATAAGGGAAAGGCTGTTTCGTGATTTGGTTAAAAGCAACTGCATTACAGTAACGTTAGCTTGTCACTCAAGTGAGGCAGCAGAGGCATCAAATTAAAGGAACATTTATTCTATAAAATTGTTTATGATAATGTGATGTGTTTTCAAATTAATTAAAACAAACTGCATATTAGCTCACATAATTCCTAACTGAACTTTTTGAAAGCCCAAATGCACAACACACAGTTTTCCTGTGCTATGGGTTGATATTTCACCTGTTCCTCCAAATACTTCAATAATCTGACTGAATTGTGGGCTAGGTTACAACTGGTCTGATCGTCTGGCTGCTTGTGTTTCTTGCCTTGTCGTATTTCATCATGTTGACGTCAGTGTTCCCAGAGGTCAGCAATTACTTAAGTGAGTACAATGTTTCCGTAACCAACAGAAAATAAGACCCAAATGTGTACAAGATTATCCTTTAATCACTGGCTTTAAAGAGTTAATTAAAACAGATCCACCTAAACATTATTCAGTCAGTTACAATTCTGTATCAGCCTCTAAATAAGCACAATAGGCAAATACACCACAAGTGAAGCAAAACCTTTATGGTTTGTGCCTTTTCTTTAAAAGAGGTCATCAGCTGTTGTTTATGAAAAATACAGGACACACAAAGTGATATGAGACACTCATCCATAAAACACCATCAAGCACTGAAACAAATATTTTATGAGGTGTCTGTTGAGTAAATTTGGTTTGAAGTTATAATGACTTGACATTTGGATGAGATATAAATAACAATTCTGCACCAGTGTCAGCAACGAGGGGTGACCTAAAGTCTGACAAACTGCATTTTTCACCTTTGCTTACAAAAGAAATTTAGGTCACATTTTCATAAGTGTACAACTTTTCTGAACATTAAGGGATAAAGTCGGATGTAAAATCAGATCTATTTTCCTTTGTGCTAATTTATATTAAGTAGGGATGAACTGATTTATCGGCAGAACATCGGTATAGGCCGGTATTCGCCTTGCTGACTGACATCTGCCTATCGGCAAATAAGATGTTGTTCATTAATGTCAGTGTTTATCAATTTTGTTGCATCAATTATGCGATTTTGGCTAAATGTTTTGTTGGTTATTTCCAATTCTAATATTGGGGAAATAATTACCTAAATTTTCCGAGCACTGGCACAAATTGCACGCAAACATTGATGTGCTCCGTACACGAGCACTGACAGCGAGCGTCTGTTCAGCTCCGCATCTCACATCTCAGATAGGAAGAGAAATAGACTGAGCTGCAACAAGGAAGAGATGCTTATCTTTAGCTTTCGTTTTGTTTCCCTGGCACAAAAGGGCAAATAAACAACAACAAAAAAACATCCGTATCGGCATCAACAATCAGCCAAATTGGTGGTTTTAACATAAGTATCAGCCCAGAATCTTCCAGTCGGTGCATTTTACCTACATGTTCCATTTCGAAACAGGATTTGGTCTGACCCTTTACAGCTGGAACCCTTGCAGGTTCACAGGATGTTAACGAATGAGTAATGGTATTTCTGTGAGCTGTCATGGTTTTGGTTGTGGTGTGCGTGCTGGGTGCTGCACTATATTTGGAGTAGCATGTTTTGACAGTGTTTGTGTTTGCGTACGTGTGTGTGATGGTATTGAAGAGAGCAGTGTCTGACAGCATTAGAGAGTGTGCTGCCCAGTCATGGGATTATCTATCCCAGGGGCGTGTCAGCACCGATGGGCTCCGAGCTCCCTGGCACAACAGCGGAGAAGAGTCTTAATCTCAATCCCCCAAAATCCCCTCTCCTCTTTCAGGAGTTTCTTCCATTTGAAGACAGTGTAGTCGACCACGGCGAGCACGGCAAGCTCACTCTGACAGTCTGCACACGGGCCACTCGCGTAATGCAAACACGGGTACATATGGGGTCACCGTATCCTTCAGTCACACTAAGAGTCAGCACAGAGAGCAGCGTCCTCGTTTGAAGTCGATCAGACCGGCCTGTACAGGAACGCTTGGACTCTTAGCATTAAGGATGAGTCAGTGCTGTGAGAGAGTCATGAGTCATTTCTTGTTTAGACTGACTGTCTCTATATTGTGGCCTCCTGGATACAGTCTGTGGCAGCCCAGCAGGATGGAGAAGGCCTTGCGGAAATCTGCATTGAAGGCATAGATGATGGGGTTGAGGGAGGAATTAGCCCAGCCGAACCACACGAACACGTCAAACGTGGTGGGGCTGATGCAGGGGAAGGCCTCCCCTCCGCTCGACTGCTCGCAGAAGGGCACCATGCAGTTGAGGATGAAGAATGGTAGCCAGCAGCACACAAACACCCCCATGATCACCGACAGTGTCTTCAGCACCTTGGTCTCCCTCTTGAATGTCATTTTGAAAGAGCTCTCTGACTCTGCGATGCTGGAGCCTCCGCCCATGCTGTCGTGCCTGTTCTTGGCATTTTCAGCCGCTCGCTCCAGGGCCGAGATCCTCCTGATTTGTCTGTGGGCGATGCGGTAGATTTGGGTATAGGTGGCCACCATGATGATCACAGGGATATAAAAGCTTATGAGAGAGGTGGAGATGGCGTAGGTCCTGTTCAGGCTCGAGTCACAGTTCTCCGGGCTACGGTAAGATGAAGCGTTCAAACCTGAAGAGCCAGAGGACCCAGTGAGAGGGGTGTAAGGTTTAGTTTGGGCCTTGTGCCAGTTGAGCTGCACCGGGATAAAGGATATAAGGACGGACAGCGTCCAGGCCACACTGATCATCACATACGCCACTCTAGGTGTCATCTTCCTCTCATAGCGAAAGGGGCTGGAGATGGCCCAGTAGCGGTCCAAGCTTATCACACAAAGGTTCAAGATGGACGCCGTGGAGCACATAATGTCAAAAGCCACCCAGGTGTCACAGAAAGAGCCGAACGGCCAGAATCCAGCGATCTCTGTTACCGCCTTCCACGGCATCACCAAGATGGCAACCAAGAGGTCTGACACGGCCAGCGAGATCACAAAAAAGTTGGTCACCTTGGAGCGCAGATGTCGAAACTTGGTGACTGCGGCACAGACAAGCGTGTTTCCCAACAAGGTGGTGAGGATGAGCAGCGAGAGGAAACAGCCAGTTAGGACGCGGCTCGAAGGAGCCTCTTCCAAAAACCCATTGTCAATGACAGTCGTGAAGTTCATGAGATCCATCCCTGAACATGTGCGGGTCGGGTTGTTCCTTTAAGTCATCCTGGAGAGCTGTGCTACATTATATCCACAGGGTTAAAAATCTAGGAGGCTCCTGTGCTCCTGCCAGGCAAACAAATCACCATCATTGCATCAACTGATAAATGATGAATGGCGAGATGAGGCAAACCCTCTCTGAGTCGGACATTTGCCTCCTGACTTTGTTAATTAGATTTGACATCATTTGAGCTGCAGTGCTGAGGAGGCAGTGGTAACTTAATTCCTCTGTGTAATGACTGTGAGCTCTTCTGTCTGTCCCAAACTGCTGTAATATTCGGAATCTCTCTGTCTGCTCACTAAAATCATCAGCAAACCCTGTGGATTAAAGAAATTCATTTTTAACATTAACTTAGATAATAGTTCTTGTCATAAACATTGGTTGAAATACTACATGTTTATTGTTGCTCCCTTTATGTAAGTTCTGATTATACTGTGCTATTTGACTGCATCTCAAATAGCCGATTATAATGTGTATAATGCAATGATCCGATTTTAAAAAGCATACTCTAAAGAGCACTGGCTACAACTGTCAGCAGGATTTTCCCATGAGCGCATTGTAATTATGAAGGCATGACTAATAAAGAGTCCTGCGGTCCTCCGCACATATACCCCACAATGCTCTGTTTTAATCGCAATCCTCATACTCACCTTACTAGCTGTGGTTTCATTTAACATTTCAAAATAAATGTCCCGTCGCTTCCATTACAACTTCCCAGCATAAAGTCCCATCCAAAAAAAAGGGGGGGGGAAATACAGTCCTCCACATCCGACAAAAACAAACCAAAGAGATTATATCCTCGATGCACTCGCTGGCTGTTGTTCGCGAGTAAATAAAACACACACACAACATTCCTCAGATGTCACTCACCGCTCCGGCTGCGTCCTCCTCCTCCTGCAGCCCTGCGCGTCAGCGGCCAAATCCCGGAGCCTGTGCGCTCCGGCGCACTGACGTTGTCCCATTCAAGAGAAAAGTGAAGCAGGGATGAAAAGCATGTGACTGTGGCCCTTTGGCGACCAATTCCGCTATACTGCCTAATGCACAGTGAGTAACACCTGACTTGTCATGAGTGGCCTCTTGATGAAGGCTTTGGAGGTTAATAACACATTGCACTGCAGATTAAAGTCACCGGTTATCAGCGGCGCTGTCTCTTAATTTGACCCACTTAAATCTGCACTGTGGTGTAGTTTAATTAAATTAAGATGCGAGTTATAAAACTGAATCAGGACAAAGGCCAAACACGCAGGGGGCCAGTGAGTCGCTGAGGCCACCTAACGGAGAGAGAGAACCACTGCACCTGTAAGGGGGAGATCGAGCTGGAGGGACACGAAGCCCATGTGAAGGATTTTTTACTCCTTTGCAGGATTTTAATGAATGAAATAGAGTTGTTTTTTTTATGAACGACAGGTTTACGCTCAGACAGAAGATTACATCAGAAACTCACATTCTTCATCCGCCTATGCCAGAGTTTCTCATGTGCAGACGGACCAATGTCACCTTCAGCCGCAGTCATCATTTTTATCTGCTCTGACCGATAAATCGTGCACTGCTTGTAAAGAAAATCTGTCAGCAAACACATAGCTGTTGTGTTCAGTAGAGGCTGGTATCTCGCACGCAGATCATAGTGGAATACACACAAACAATCGTGACATGCCAGCTGTCACCTTACACTGATGTAAGTACTTCTGACAGGAGGAAAAGAAACTGCTTTCACCCTTTTCCATCACAAACATCCACACTAGAAGACGGTTTAATAGATGGGTTGAAGCCACCAGACTGGTGTAAATGAGTGAATAGAATAATACACGTGTTCATTTTCCTTTTGCCATATTTTCCTTAACATCTCTCACTCTGTGCTGTAATCCATTATCACAGTTTGAAGAACAATATAAGATACTCTAACAGAAAATGCTACATTTGTAATATAATAAGGGACTATTCTTTTGTCTTGCCTAATATTTAATAAGGGATTTATTTAAAAAACACAAACTGACAAAATTCAAATGTGACAGCTCATTATTTTTTAATATCCTTTAAATATTTCAGGACTCTCTTTATTATCTTTTATAGACAAACCCCAGAAATGAATGCATATTAAACCAATGACAACACAAGTCAATACCTTTTCTTAAAAAGGTTGTCTAGCACCAACAGGTTTGTTGTCAGCAGGAAACTCAAGCACTCCAACATTTACAGTTAAGGCGGGAACAGATGGGGATGTTATAGTCTGCTGAGAGAGCTACCAGAGAGGTCAGTGATTGTTTTGAGAAATATGCTTTCTTGCCAAGACTTTGATGAGAAGATCAATACCACTTTTCACTCTCACTTTAATTTTTTTACGAGGGTGTGTGTGCCAGACTGTTTCTTGGCCACGAGCGCCCACTTAACGTAGCACCACTTAAACCACATTGTTTTTATACTCACTTGTTATCTGAGGACGAAGCCAGACCAGCTGTTTCCATGTTTCCAGTCTTTATGCTAAACTAAGCTAACAGGTTGCTAACTCATGCCTCGTATTGAACAGATAGACATAAAAGCGTTATCGATCTTCTCATCGAACTCGGCAAAGAGAGCGAATAACCATATTTCCTGACATGTGGAACTATTTCTTTGACTTCACACTGACTCTGTCACTTGATGTTTAACTAAATGTTAACATGTCAGCTAATCAGCATCAGTGCTCTGCCCTCCAAAGATAATTTTAAAATTGTCCTGGAAACCTGTGAATTAGTAAAATGTATTTTTAGTTTATTATAACCGTGTGTTTATTATTCTCATGTGCTGCATTCTTTCCTAAAAAAAGATGTCATGTTCTTTCTTACTCTCTGAGTGCTGCCTTGCTTCGAGGACATCAAAGACACAGCAGCCGGGCAGGGTTGAGAGTTTAAAGGTCAGAGGTGAGACCAGGGTAGACAGGCAAAGCAGAGATGCATTGTGGGCCTACTTCAGAGCGTCTCTTTCTACCTACCCTCTGCTCTGCTACTTCTCTGTGTTCAAAGGTGCAGCTGCTGCTCCTCTAACTCACGTCCCATGCAGTTCAAAGGCTACATAGAGGCTGCTGCTGCTGCTGTGAGTTAGGATTTCCTAAACATGCTGACTGTAAAATCCTCTTTATCTTACTTTTCTTGCAATGTAATGAGTAATTTGCTCTCTTCAGATGCCAAGCCATGACTAAGAAGATGTGTGAAAACAGATGAGGTAAACCACAACTGCAGCTTTTTACATAATATGTCAATCACGACAAGTGCTCATGTGGATACTGATATAAGTCTGGACAAGTTTGGAGTGTTTTTAGTCTGATGTGGGATGACAGTTACAGTGCTTTGAGAAAGACGGCTGAGAGCGTCAAAGGGGCCCGTTTTAGGAACCAAAATGTTACAAAACCTCAGCCTTCTGCTGCATGTTCGTGTATGTGAATGCAGGTGTGAAAACATGTCTTTTTTTGAGTAGTGGCATGCGAACATGTTAACTCTTAACCGCTCTCCAGATGGACAGAATAGATAAAAGAGACAATGGTTCAGTGTTCTCTATTACTCTGTCTGCCTGTTTCCTCTTCTCTGCCTTACTTTTATGGGTCAAACACCCCTCCTCTCCGCACCATGGCATTACAGCCTGACCTTTTTTTTTAATAATACTCAATGAGAACAAAATATGAAAGTAGTTGATTTATTTGACGACAGCAGCACAACATTTCTGAACTGACATAATGTTTTTCACATTGTGAATATTACTTTGCTGAATACATCATAGGATGTGTCCGTTGATATCAAGACTAATAAATAAATAAATAAATAAACATAAATAGTAATATAAATAATACTAATAAATATATAAAGGTAATTTTAAATGTGAATCTAATAAATTATCCGGTCATAATTGTCCTTTCATTTTATGTGAGAAAAATTTACTTAAAATAACTCCTAATTAGCAACAAGCTGCTCTGCATGAAAGAGAAAAACAGGCCACAATCTTCAACTCTTTGCTTAATTTCTGTTAAGTCGGATGAAGAATTGTTTGTACTGGCTGAAAGGCATCAGGCTGATATTCCTTGACCTCGTAAATCTTTCCTGGCATTTGTTGTTCTGAAAGAGGAACACAGAGGGTTTGGGATTATGTTTTATCATGATAGCCACTATTGATGCAGCAAGTAAAGGGTAAGAACTGTCTTGTCAAGAAATCATGTTTCTGTTGACTAACCTCTTGATGTGATCCCAGAGCATCTAGGTTCGCCTCAAGTTCTTCCAGAACATGCCTGTCCTCCGAGAATAGTACCGTCACATTGTTAAGAAGGTCCTTCAGCCCCCTGACAAACACGCCCACACAGGATTGCTATGGAAAAATGACATGGCTGAGTCAGGCTATTGTAAATAAAAGTCCATGTGTCATCATGACCCGAGCCCAACAAAGCTCAGTCTAAATGATTCAGAGTGCAGATGGTGAAAAATATGCAATACTTACTGCATTAGCTTTATTGTATGTCACACGCATCATCTGTGTCTACAGGGAGAGAAAATGTATTTAATTCATTCATTCAGATATTATTATATATTATTCTATCTGTAAGGTTATGACATTAACAATAAAGCGTCTGACAAAAAAGACCTGCAAGAGCGAAGCCACAAGTGTTGAAATAAAGTGTGATAATATCAATGCAAAATACTTACAGATGTGATATTGATGCGTTTTTGTTTGTAGAGTGTGTTGAGCTTCTCCAGTCGGGGTATAATATCGCGGTTCAGGTCCTTGTTTGACTGAACACTGTAGTAGAGATGCAACAGGACGAGAAGGGCAAGCACGAACTTCATACTGCAGCGTTGTTTCTTTTCCTTCACAGCTTCTTCTTGTTGTCTTAAGTGTGAGGCTTGATGTGATCGGTATCTGCGCATTCTTTTTATACACACAAGAAAAAGGAAGGAAGTCAATGACTGACTCGTTACACACCTACCTGGAAATTTTTATTTCATGTGATGGGCACTT